CCACTGCCAGATCTGAAGGACTATTGATGGTTACCGGCTTCGAATCTCAGCCTTCGATTGGTTCGCGTGAGTCTGCCGAGTGATCACATCTCTTTGTCGATCTGGTGTTTATTGCTGGCTTAACCTGCAGAGCTTCGTAGACACCCTCCAGCTCCAGGTGTTTGTTGATTGAAGTCTGGCCAAAATGCCAGACTTCGAGGAACTCACGCGCTCTGCGGTTTCTTGCTCTCCCAAGTATTTCAACGTTCTCCAGCTTGAACTGATGGTCCTCGGCATCCACTGACATTAGGGATTTCTCATCTTGGCGGCGGATGGCATGACTATGTTCGTGCAGTCTTGTGCCAAGTTTTCTTCCAGTCTTGCCTACATTGTACCTGTTGCAGTTCTTGCAGGAAACTTTGCAAATTATACCTGAAGTTTCTTCCTTACTGTGTCCTTTACCTTGGAGATGAGGACCACTTGTTTAGCATGTTTCAGCGAAATTCGTACCCTCGAAGCTTTATTATACGCTGCCTGATGTCGAAGAGCCAGTCACAACTCTCGTCCACCTGTGCAACAGAAGAAACGATTATCGACCATACATCCATGGGATTTCTGGAATGGCAGCGAGACTTCTTATGCCTCAAGGGATAAATGTTACACGAAACAACGGTAACTATTCGAAGTAAACTTTTCATGGTAAAGGACAAAGAGAGTAAGGAAGAAACGTCAAGTGTAATTTACAAAGTTTCCTGCAAGAACTGCAACAAGTACAATGTAGGCAAGACTGGCAGAAAACTTAGCACAAGACTGCACGAACATAGTCATGCCATCCGCCGCCACGATGACACTCACGTGAACCAATCGAAGGCTGAGATTCGAAGCCGGTAACCATCAGTAGTCATTCGGATCTGGCAGTGGTTTGCGAGACTGCGAAACAGGACTGAATAGCCGCGCTGAAGATGTTGCCTGGTTTGGTAACGAAACGCCTGCGAGAGAAATGCCCGGCTCGTAGAACAGGACATTTCTCTCACTGGAGACCCCATCGGTTGTTTTCTGCTGCTTATCGGGAACCCGACTGTATGTTTCCAGCTCGGTGCTCATCTGGCCATCGTATTTCTATTATACTGGCAGTAATTTTTCATTGCGTTTATACGGAGGTGATATGTAGCAACCCCCCAGTTTATCTGCGCTCGTTGTGTAAAACTCTGACCCGGTGGCTTAAGGGTAGCGGCCACAACTAACATCCTAATGGTCCCCGGTTCGAGGCCTGCTAACTCTATCTGATTAGATAACATCAAAACGCGTCATAGTAGTGCAGTGTTTTCGGGCGGGCAACACTCAATTTCTTTTTGCATCAGCTACGGTCCTCGTGATCGAAAGACAATTGTTCACATCAATAGGAATCGTGTTCCACATTGAGATTGCGCGTCGCAATTCATCCACGCAACATGTACTCTAAAAGTGACCCTCAACATTGTTCATTTTACCGTTATGCCAAGCGTTGCCCGTGACCCGGTGGCTTAGGGGTAGCGGTCACAACTAACATCCCGATGGTCCCGGTTTCAAGGCCTGCTAACTCTATCTGAGGAGATGTAATAACATCGAAACGCGTCATAGTAGTGCAGTGTTTTCGGTCGGGCAACACCCAATTTCTAACCAAAATTACTATTTCATTGTACACTTTGATGATCGGTGCGGAATGTTGAACTGCATGTTGAGTTAGATTTTTTGAACTAGGCAACGCTTTTGCTTTGGAGTCTGGTTGGTTCGTAATCTGCGACCGCCTCGTGTGCTTCACTCCTTTCCTCCCCCTAGCTAACAGCGTCCATCGGGGTCGTATTAACAGCTAGGCCAAGAGGTAACCATTTACTATACAGGAGAAAAAGCTCCCTTGCAACCCGATCGGCCTTCTAGAACCGTTATCTGAGCTCCCATTAAAGTACAGTTTCGATTGCCGGTCAAGCCGGTATGAGCATTGCTCTGAGCCCCCTGACTGAAGCTGCTCTCATTGATCGGATCCCAGTGAACAGCAGGATTTACGCCATCAGCTTGGCTGGCTGATTCAAGGCTTCGAAATCACGCGAGGTCAATGAATGCCTGTTTGCCATCGCCTGCTTTTAACGCTACTTCGATGAAGGGTGACTTCTTTTGTGAAATCGATGAGCTTCCTCATCACAGGGAAGGGAGAGGGGAGGTCAAGCGATGAGTTATTCGTGAGGAAGGAAAACCCTGACTTCGAAGTTGGCGTCGGTTAGTGTCACCCCACTGCCGGACTGGGGTTCGAAAGATGTCGAACACGTCTGGCTGGATAGATTTGCTGATTGCCTAGAGCAAATGAATCGCTTCATATATCTCGGGATTTGCATCACGGCGGGTGGCGGTGTTGGGGATGAATCATCTCAGCAAGTCTCTAAGTCTCACATGACGTTCACTAACTTGACATGTGGCGTCGCCGCGACATCAGTCTATGGCTCAATGGCAGTGTGTACAGTGCCACTGATGTACGGCTGCGAGACCTGGCCTGTTCGCTCAGAACATCTGGTACGACTATTATCTTGCGTCAAACGCTGCTTGCGAACGATCGCTCGTGTGTGGTGGCAACAGCATCTAAGCAACTTGGAATTTAGGAGTCGTGCACTCGGAGCGAACAACCTCAGCCTTCAGGACATTACTTTCGAACACCGTTTACGTTAGGTCTGTCACGTTCTGCGCATGCCAGCCAACCGACTTCCTCACGGAGCATTATTTGCAGCTCCTGGGCATGAGTGGAAAGGATACCCGGGCAGTTAACCGATGACTTACAAAAGGAACATCATGTATGTCACCTCATGTTTGGCATCCACAGGATCTGTCCGTTTTCCAGGTTGGGACCACGTGATGGGGACTCCAAATAGTTGGAAGTTTTAGATGCTGTGACTCGTAACCAAAGTCAGTGGCTTCAATGCTGTACCAGCATTTTCCTTTCATCCAAATTTCAATTTTAAACGAACAAACTGAATTTCAGACGACGTGCGTAAAACACTAAAAAGGCGGACAAAACCGTTTTCATGTTTTCTGAACAATCATTTTTCCATGCCATTGCAGCTCTGGTTCTGATGGCACTTTGTCTCTTCTTAGACTTTTGAATAAATAAATAATATAATTGCGAAGAGCTTGCTTTTCGGGTTTTGGAGCAACCGCCGTGTGTCTTGGATTGCAACACGCACTCTCAAGCGTGATCTCGGTTGACTTTGAAGTCAGTCTCTGCCAATACGGTCACTGCGACCGTCACCGAGGTGGAGGGTTTCGGTGTGGCTCTCTCCTATCTCTGTACTCCACGACTGATGGTTTCGTCTTTGTTTAAACTCATCATTTATAGTTAGCCGAGCTGGGAGTGGAACTCGGCGCATAGTACTTGGTGGCTATCGCCATGGCCATTAGGCCATTCAGATCCGCGAGCAGTGTTTGACACAGCGGTTAGAAGTAAATTTTCGGGTTTGGAGCACCTGCTGGGTGTCTTGGATTGTGACACGCAAACTCAACCGTGGCCTCGATTGACTTTGAAGTCAGCCTCTGCCAATACGGTCACTGGGGCAGACACCGAACTGGAGTGTTTCGGTGTGGCTCTCTCCCATCTCTGCACTCCACGACTGACGGTTTTCTCTTGGTTTGGACTCGTCATTTATAGATAGCCGAGCTGGGAGTGTAACCCGGCGCTCAGTGCTTGGCAGCTATCACCATGATCACTAGACCATTGAGCTCCTCGAGGAGTGCCTGACACAGCGGTTAGAGGTAGATTATATGGGGCGCTTGTGTTGTGAGTTTCTTCCTTCATTTCCGTCCTGTTAGATTCTCCTTTCAATTACGATCTCCTAACAAATACATACTTTGATACTCGTTATTATATTACTAGCTTTTTGCGATTTTTCTAGTCTGTATTTTTATTATCTTATCGATTTTTTATTGCAGCACATTAATTGAGGTGCGTTTCTCACCTTTTGCGAACGTGCATTTATGATGATGATAATAATGACGATGTTACACATGCCAGTACACAGATTCTTGCTACAGTTTTTACGAGTCTGGGGTTTAGCTAGAAGATTTGATCAAGAAAAATGAAATTTTCACTTCGAACTCGGCCTCGGTTCTTAGCTTCTGACTGCCTGGTTATAGTCCCGGAGACGATGAGCACTTTTGACTAATGAACAGAACCAAGAGCCGTCTCGAGTGGCGTTTGTGTTTCGAGTTTCTTTTTCTGTACCTCCTACTTAGCCTAGTCCATCAACCGCTATTTCACTATGAATTCATTGCGAAAACAGGGCATGATGTTATGCTTTTTGCGACCTTATTCTATTTGTATTGCTACACAATGACTCTGGCGAATCTTACCTTTGCGCAGTGTGTGGGATACTGATGCTGCGATATAACTCAGCTGTTTCGTTTTGCCATCACTCTCTCGTTCACATGATAAGTTTACTATTTTTGTCGTTGTCATTTATCGATCAAGAATGTTTTTTGATCTCCAAACAGATAAACATTTAGTGACCTTCTTTTATCCTCCTCTTGGTCTCGGATATGCGAATCGAACCAGCTTTCTCCACCGTAACTGCGTGCTTGAATCGTAATTGAGTAACCGAACACAGTTGAACTAGTTGGATGTAATGCGATTCGCATACCATTTCCCCCTGCTCCGTTGCGTATTGTTGCTTACTGCTGCTGCTGTTGGTTACTGCGTTTTCATCCATAATGGAAACAATTTTCCTTTCCTTTCCATGTACTTACCAGTGTTTTCAAAACGCGTCAAGTTTCCCAATACAACCACAGGTGTTACTACTTCTTCCAGAATATCAAGCAATCCACTCCATTGTTTTATAGCAAGCTCTTCTTCACACATAGACATGCTTTTCGCTTTTGTCTCATGTCTCACCGTCTTATTTCAGTTCGTTTTCCTGGATATGTCTCAACCATGTTGGCCATGTTTAGGTCATTGAGACTTTCAAAACTAACACTTGGCACCTGACGCGTGCGTCCGATTCACTATGCCTGAAAATAATGTTCACTTCTTGGCGGGATCGTTATCCGGCTTCATGGTTCGCGCATTAACACAGCCGTTTGATGTGATCAAGATACGCTTCCAGGTACGCCCGATTCGCTGTTCATCGCCTGCCCCGTTTAGTTACAAGTGGAACCCATTAAACCAACATCATTATCATATTATTCGAGCTTTACCCAAGCCTTGTCCCGTATTGTGAAAGAAGAAGGTTTCACTGGCCTGTGGAAAGGACATGTACCTGGGCAGCTACTTTCAATGTGCTTTTGCGGATTTGAGGTGATGATGTTGACATTTTCTTTTCCATACTATCTAACCCGATTCGTAATGTTTTCTCTCATCCTTTCCCCTTGATTTACCCTTTTGTTTGTTTCCCTCATTTATGTTCGGTATATTACTACTATTATGTAAAGCAGCTAATTCTTGTGCACCAATTCTTGTCCACCAATATGAACTGCGATATCTGTTGTAACGTTGCCCTGTCCCGTGCTCTCTGCACTCAAACCCAGCCGGGAAAGAACACAGAACACCGAAGCCTGCTAGACCGGTTTCTTAGACATGGAACACGGTTCATTTTATAGATCACCTATTATCTCCGGTTGTACGTCCCTGAGCTAACGCACGCCACTTGCCTGAACAGATTCCAAACCGGCTTGCCGTCCGCACTGGCCAGCTGTAGTCGCGCTCACTCACAGCTTTCACCTAGAAGCTCGTCTCATTCTGACGGACTGAGTTCATCAGCTTCCCGCGTGACTTAGCTGTACTGCCACCGGCTGGGTAGCAACCCGTGTGATGATGACGGACTGATTTCATTTGCTTTCGGCATAACTTAGCCGTGCTATCGCCGATCGTGTAACAACCCTTCTCATGATGACAAACGTCCCGAAACCATCTCAAGTTCTTAGATTTGCGGCCTCCAATTATTATCTTGCTTGGTTTCAACTATCTCATTTTTATCGGTAGGTCTGAAACCTACCTTAGTGATAACTTGATGTTTCTCGGAGGCATTTTCCATCTGATCCTTTTGATGCCACTCGCTCTCATCGCCGCACTTTGCAGCCAGTTTGCTCCCTGTTCTTGCTGTACAGCAGGAAATCACTGGCTCCTTGGCAAACGACCTCATCACTGATTACCCATTTTTATGAGTCACAACGGCTTGAAATTCACCATCCGGTTTGAACACGTGTTGAAAATGGGTTCCTCAACCCGAGCAAATACCAGGTGTTCTAAACGTAACAGCGAATCCCTAATTCTGTCAAATATTGCCTGCTGGGTTAAGTAATATAGTGGGGAGAACATATGGCCGACAACACTCTCTCTTCTTGTTCTTCTGTTCCATCTCAATTTTTCTCGCTTATTGAGCAAGAGACTGCCGCTTAACTTGCAGCTGTTACCATCGATACATATAGGTCGTCACTTAGACTAAGGGTGTCATTTCACTTCGGTTCGCTTAACGTCCACGCTATGGGTTAGGTCGGCCAACTGGCGGCATTAACTCTCACACTTTACTTTCTTGTCTCCGAGACACACACACACACACAAGCTAACGGCGTTGTCGCGAATTTTTCTACTCCATGGTTTCGAATATGTTTGACTATGGCTGCACTCTTCACGTCTTTGAGTCAGTGGCTCAAGGTATTTACAGTGTGCATATTCCCCATAGTAAATGTGCTGGAGGCAATCTACTCGACTAGATACCAGTGAACATTCGCATGTGCGCGGTTCGACTTCTTGGGGTTTATAAGCACCCTCGGAAGACAAGATGCCTTTTCATCACTTCCGTTTATGCTCAGTTCGGAGGGTACCAAACTTGATTTATTCCGTGAACACTCATCTCTTCCCTGTTTGGTGAAAAATACTGACATGGTGATTGTTGCTTGTGACATAGATGTCCAAGGGAATCAAGCTTTAAACTGAACGACTCCTTGGATGCCGTTTCGGGGTCAACGCATGCCGAGCAATCAATCGTTGTCGATTCCAATACCTATGTCCCGAGTACAACCTATATATTGGCAGCACTGCTTGCCAACTCAAATATTCCCATCGTGTCAACTGGCGCCCACCGAATTTCTCGTTGAACTATACCGAAATCGACTATATTGCCACCAGTCTATCAGCATAAAACTAGGTCATTTGTAGCGCATACGTGGCGCTCACTCTTCCTGCTTTAAAGGAGTGCTTAAATTCTAAGCCTTTGACTTGTACCCTGAATACGCAGTTTGCAATTTAACATATTTTGGCGAGCTGGCCCACCAATTGTTGATGATGAACGAGGCGGGTAGACCAAACACTGATTATACTCTTCGAAAGCATGTCATGAAAAGTGCTTTTAAATTCTGCTGTACGCCCAACTTGAGGCGCACGATCCGTGAATGCATTTCTGAGACGTCGATCTGTGATTCTTGTTAGATGTGAATCATTGAAAGCCACTCTTCCGCCCTGATCGTGATTACATCGACCACATGTTCACTTTTCCTCAACTGTTAGAGCGGAAACATGCTCACAGACGACCGACTATGCTTTCCCTCTTTGACTTGACAGCTGTCTTCAACTATTGGCCGAGCTAACTTGCCAGCTTGTAGCAATGCCTGCCACTGAAAATAATGCCTGGAAAACGCATTTCCATTACAAAATCTCTGTCGTCACTTCCGAGGCTGGGTTATGATCTATGGAAATTTGTGAAGTTTGTCATGGTTGTTTTTATCCTCATTTCTATTCAACTTTGTAATAGAAATGATCATGGATGACTTCACTCTTTTAGACTCTTGGAGTGAACGTTTCGCCATGTGACTGATCGGCAAACCTTGAGTATGCGAATGACATAACTCCCCTTGGGTCTGACGCAGGCTCCACTGAATAGGCTGACGTACGTCGCTGTACTCTTCGGCTTATGCCTTTTGCCTTCAGAGTGCAAGGTGCGGTTGTGGGACTGCACCAATAGACCAGGGCTTTTAGCCACCAGCCAACAACTGGAAGTGTTCCCTCTGGTAGTTGTGTCAGCTGTGTTCGCCACATCACTGAGGAAATTATTTCGCGTGTCAGCAAGTCTCATGTGGCATATCAGAGGCTCAACTATCTATATAGATGGCGGTATATCTGTCTGTTGTTGGAAGACATGGTGTATAACACTGCGGTAAGTTCGGTATGATTATGGATCAGAGACCTAGCCAATTTGCATTGAAGACTTGAAACGCTTGGTATGTTTGACCACCGATGCTGGCGGAATGTTGCTCATAATTGGTGGGAACACCTGGTGGGTAATGTTGTGATCCGCCAGTTAGTTTATGGCAAGAAGCCTCACTGGAGTGTTTGCTTAATCTTAATCACATACGTTAGCTGGGTCATGTCCTCCGTATGCCCGTTGATCGGCTTCCTCGACATACACTATACGCCGTACAGTTTCCGTGTATGTTGGCCTCGAAACGGTTCGCACCAGTTGTTGGAAGCTATCAAACATGATGCATTCGTTTTACTTATGAGTGGAAGGATTTTGGTGAGTATTTTTGTTCGTCGCTATCAGCCGACAATTCAGATAAGTCAACTAGCTACCCGGGAAAGCACCAGACGGCCGTTCCGCCCTATTGGGGCACGTCAGTGGTGCGCATCCCTCGGTCCTCTATGGAGCATCGAACTGTCCTCCATGGCGCAGTTGCATAAGCTGCGGGCTAGTTGGCAAGAGCCACTAGCAGTCATGGGTTTGATCCTCCGCACAGGACCGGAGGATGCGCACCACTGATGAGCCCCAATAGGACGAAACGGCCATGATGCATTCGATTTATCGCATCAGTTACCTTTCATCCCATCCGGATTGGTTTAACGCACGTGAGGCAAAGTAATGCTTGCTTCATTTTCCATCTAGTGCAGTTGATCATTCTAGTCGAATTTACGTGCTTGGGACTGTTTAACATCACAGCAATCAACGGAACTGGGCGGAATAATTATCCGTGGATAGGAGGTAAGTTATTGCTATTGATTTAAAGACATCATATCTGAAACGAGCGAGCCAAACATCTCACGGTTTTCCGCCCCCTGCTGGATTTCCGATGATCCGCATCTGACCAGTGCTGAGTACTTGTTATGTGGAACGCATCTCCCTACAAGATCGCGCAAACCAAAACCACATAAGGCACACACACTCGGATTCAAATTCAACCAGTCTCCGTAGTTACAAAACTTCACCTTCCGAGACGTTCCGCTCATATTCGGATTGCGCCAATTCAATTGCTTACAGTTGGCTTTCCTGGTTTAGCCTGCACAGACCGTTAAATTTGAAAAATATCACATACACCACCAATCTCGGTATATGAGGCTGGGTAACGCTGTAGTAACTCTTTGCTGGGCCAGTGAAAGCGCCTGGTGCCTGGGGTCTGCGTTCGTTCTACTCGCTCGATTTAGCTTGCTCCTGGAAAGCGTTTGATAGCTAAAACTCACGGGTTGTTCGAATCCAATTTTGTTGGTCACTTTTCCGTGCCTCCGTGAATTATGCAAGTCGTTTGTTCGCTCTGCGAACTGGGTATCGTTACAACCAGGCAGTTATAACAGCGCTAATGTTTTACTTTTGACTATTCCAACCGATTTATCTTTCTGTGCCACTCACTACATAAGGAATTTCATACAAATTCACGATTTCTTTAGCCGATGGCCGACGGGATTGCGCGTTGGTCTTGTGGTCCTTAGGTCACTTGGTTTCGAATCCGCGCAGGCTCGGGCGACTTCACGGTTTCCCCCCAGCCGTTGCGCTACTGGTGGTGGTCGCGCGGTGGCGAAACGTTGGTACACTGTGTCGGCGTACTGCTGACCTTTTTACATTAGTCATAAAACTAGTGCTCTTATTCGTCGCAATTTGTTTGCTTGAGCTGCAGGGCTTGTATCGTCGCCTCTTCGTGAACGCCTTGCTAAATCATTTAGCGTTTTGTTGGCGGTGCGCCCATGTATAATTTCATGGAGCTTTTGCATGGGTGACTTGATGGTATGTTCAGCACCTCTATCTTTCCTTGCAATTCCAGCTCTCTGAACTCATCGGATTTTTACTATGCTTATGATGACTGAGTTCTACCTCTCCGGAGGTTTCAAGTTTCTTAAAATAGCCGCATTTTTAACACTGCACAAACGCACTTTCTTGACCTACACAGACATGGCAGTCTAATACGATCACTGTGGTAGTCGTATTTTCAGATGAAATGTTGCTTGCCACTTGTCCTTCATATGCGTGTACTACCATCCTGCGTCATTTTTATGCTGTTGCTTACTACAATCTGATCGCATTACCATGCTACTTATTTTTCCCACCGACTTTACAGTCTTTCTGGTTTGTTTTTATTCAGTTTGCCGTCTTTTACGCTCTGACTGCACTGTCAGAAAATCATTCGTTATCGCTCACTTCTCCTGTGGGGCGTGAGTTGGCGTTCGGTGCTGCAGCTGGAACAATTGCTGCCGCTTTTTCGCAACCTTTAGATGTGATGCGGACTCGCCTTGCAGCTCAGGGGCGAAATAAGGTAACTTATACTGCACGAACCTTAATGGCTCCTTTCACTAGTTAATGGGAGTAGAAACTTTTTTACTGCGTTCTTCCGGGTACATCATAACTTACTGTACACCACATCTGTTTTATGTCTTTTGATATGTTTGCAACTTTCTGTCAAATCCCCTTTTTCTGTCACATTTTGCGATTTCTTTAGTTCCGATGTATTTTTACCTTGTTGATCGTGATTGCTAGTTGGGTTACTTAATATGTCTTCTCTAACAAAACATTCACTTCGGCACTGTTTCACTCAACTCGTCTCGGTCAAGCGACAAACACGCAGTGTGTCCAATTGTATCCACTCGTCATCATCAACACCAATACTCGATAGCTGTGAATAGGAAACACACCTCAACTCATTTGCCGCAGAACAACAAGATAGGATATCAAATATTATAGAATGCAAAGACTTAGAAAGTGATGAAATGCTAATTGCCATGTTTCGCATCAGGCGGGAACTCGTGGTTAAAAGGAAAAACTAAAGAGAAGGGAACAAAGTAACAGCACAACCGCCATTGAGGTCGGCTCTTCGCCATGTCAACTAGTGTATCCACCTGCTTTAAGGCGTTGCTTACTAAGGAATGGGGTGCCAGAGAAATATTCGCCATCTTACGAGCACTTTACCTTCATACATCCGGCAGAGTGAGGGTCTATGGCAAGCTTTCCTCACAATTCGCTGTCAATAGCGGTGTGCGACAGGGCTGCCCTATGTCCCCATTCCTCTTCAACTTCGCAATCGAAGACGTTCTGTCGAATGCTCTAGAAGGTTTCCAACATTTTGGCTTAGAGTTTCTACCGGGTGAGCGCGTGACCGACTTAGATTATGCTGATGATATCGCCTTACTTGGTGACGACCCTCAGAGTATGTAACTCATTCTGGATCGTTTGGCGATTGAAGCATCTAAGTATGGCATGAGTTTCGCCCCATCGAAGTGTAAAGTACTGCTCAAGGATTGGCTTTCACCTGCTCCCGTGCTCACTCTCGAAGGTGCACAACTTGAACAAGTAGATAGTTTCGTCTACCTTGGGAGCTGTGTTTCTGTTGATGGCACTATCAACAAAGAAGTTTCTCTACGTATCGCCAAAGCTCGATCAGCATTTGTCAATCTGAGGCACTTGTGGCGTTGTCGCGACTTCTCATTTTCACTAAAGGACCGCGTTTACAGCGCATCAGTTCGCTCTGTATTGTTGTATGGGTGCGAGTCCGGGCCGATTCGCGTGGAAGACATGCGTCGTCTTTCTGCATTCGATAACGGTTGCTTAAGGAGGATCGCTCGTGTTTGGTGGCAACATCGAGTTAATAGTAATGACGTTCAACGTCGCATCTTGGGGAATGCAAGTATTTCCTTCAACAAACTGCTTTTGTTGCGTCAGTTAAGATGGCTCGGTCATGTCCTACGCATGGCACCTGAGCGTCTACCGCGTCGCGCTCTATTCGCTCGTCAAGGACCTGGCTGGAAGCGACTGCGTGGTGGTCAGCCTTCCATTTGGCGGCAGCACATGAAATCGCTGACGTCGTGTCTAGCCGCTGTTGGATCCGTACGTCTTCCAGGATGGGGACCCAAAGATGAGGAGTGCCAATGGATTATCACTCTTGAAGACATGGTCCGCAACGGGAGTCAGTGGAAGAATTGTATACGGTGTTGTATTGATTCACATGTTTAATACTACAAACATTAAAATGACAAAAATAGCAAAAGCGGCGTGTGAAAAACAAACTAAAAATGTTTTGTTCTACTTTTTGTCAAAATGTTCCACTCTTCTTGCGGCATATTAGCTGAAGTTTGTTGCTCACCTTCAATTACTACGCCATGATGATTATGACGCGACGACTCTACCTTATCCGCTAATCTCCATGGTTTGCTGTTGGCTCTGTGTCTAGTTATTAGACTGTTGAGATACATACATACATAGATCCAACCAGGCGTGTTCATCGTCCTTGGGACCCCAGCCAGGCAGTCGGGAGACACCAACCGACGCCAACTTCTAATTGAGGATTCTCATTCCTCCTGACCAATTTATCAGTTGGCTTCCCTTCCTTTTATTCTATCCACACACTGCTCGCGCAAACAACGCATGACGTGGGAATCGGTGTGTTGACATGACGCACTGTACCAGTAATTACTAAGCAAGTGTTCAATGCTTTCATGTTTTGTCGCCAAATGGTAGACTGGCCTCCACGCGGCCTCTTTCAGAACAGAGTCACACAGTGCATAGAGCAAAGGTTGTGGCCTGCCTTGCTCAAGTCGCGGTGTATGACCTAATCATTGCGCACTCGATGTTGTTACTGTTCAAAGGCACCCCTCCACAAACAGCCACCTTCAAATGCAGAAAGTCTACGAATGTCATCTACGCGGATCGGCCAGGACTGGCATCCATACAACAGTGTCGCGCGAATACAAGTATTGTAAACTCTGTCACCGTGCTTGAACAGTTCGTCCGAGCTCGCACCTTTAAAACGTTTCAAGTGTCAAATCTTGCAACAAACCTCCGCTTTGGTGGGTGCTCCTTGTGTCACTGTCCATGGCATGCGATCGGGTGTGCTGGGTGGATATTTGCCAGGCGAGCAGCAACTGTGCTGACATTGGAATACTCAGCTCATAGTTTGGTGGCTTACGACCCGTCCGTCTCACAGATGACCTCACTGATACTAGACCTGTCTGCAGTGGTCCCAATGAGCTTGAACAGCCTGCGAGCGTTACGATTGGGAGCTGCGGCCTCCATCTTCAAGGTACTTTGGAACCCGCCAAATTTCCCGATAATCGCGAAGACAGGGCGGTGAAATTCATTCTGGTCTGACTTTATTGGAAGAGTTGGATGTTGCCAAGGATCATACATTGGTTCAACCCATCGAGGGATGATAAGTTCCCACAGTTTGTTTGGTCTGTATTTAGCATTACATACCAGTGGTCGGAACACATACTAATTTTCCTGTCATTGGCGGTTGATATATCAGCTGTGCCGACTAGTCAGTTGACCTGTTCGTATTGAGTCTACAGTGCTTCCGTTTCAGAGGCCCCCGAATCGCATGCATGCATTTGCACAAACCAGCACATTAGCTGAGTCATGATAAATAGTCCAACATGATCTCCAGTCTTGTGTGCTACCCCGCCGTTTGAAACTGTTTGCCATGTGGTCTATTTGAGACCAAGGCTGCGTGGATGGCGGAAGATGCTAAGCGGCAGAGCGCTTCCCAGAATGCCTGGAGTTTGTTTGCGAAAATAAACCGCTCTCTTCACATAAACTGAGAAGCGCATGATTCTCATTAGTGCTTGTTGACTACTCAGGGACAATTTACCTAGTGATATTCGACGCACTTGTATGTTTAAGTCCACTGTGAGAACAACGACATCCGATTTGGCGGTGTTATGTAACAGCTGATGGAATTGGTGATAGGAATCGCTGTTGATTGATTCACAGCTACAGTCGGTTATCTCATAAGCGGAGACTGCAAACATGTTTCCCGTTATGATTTCAGAAGGTTTTGAATACAAATCGGTTTTGGTAGGGTTTTATTGTGGCAACGTTTCGCCCTTGACATAAGAGCTTCTTCAGGCTAGGTGAATTGGTACAAAATTGGCTTAGCTTTTTGTGGGAAATTTGCAAGACAAAACATGAATCATTGGATAATAGTGTTGCAGGTCAATAGGTCAAGTGAAATAACCAGCAGGCCACTTGACCTATTCACCTGTAACACTGTTATCCAATGATTCATGTTTTGTCTTGCAACTTTCCCATAAAAAGCTAAGCCAATTTTGTACCAATTCACCTGGCCTGAAGAAGCTCTTGTGTCAAGGGCGAAACGTTGCCACAATAAAACCCTACCAAAACCGATTTGTATTCAAGACCTTCTGAAATCATGAAATCCCAGTCGGTTCCAAACATATTCAAATGTTTCCGGTTAATTCTACATGTACCTTGAAGCCGAATAGCATATTGTTTGCCATTAACTAGAAGTCAATCCAGGAGAACGACCTCAGCTCCTCTGCTTACTTCCACATCAGCGTTAACCAAGCCAGCTATATCTACTGCATCGCCAGACAAACGCAGGTTGTATATGGCTCCATGGATAGTCGTTGATGTCGTCGGGCACATTGCTTAAGTCTTGCAACCGTGTTTCAGAAAGACGGCAGATATCAACAGCAAGTGAACACTGCGTGCGTGTCCAACCAACCTGTTAGTGATATGCATAAGTATTCGCACAAGGAATGTTGCTAGCCGAGACGAGATTCGGGGTCGAAGGGTAGTCTCAAACCAAACTTCATGGACAGTTTTTCAACTGGGCTGTGGTCTAACTGGAAAGTGACAAGGTTCCAACTTAGATTTGGAGTACCCGCCGTATGGTTGGATTGTGACACGCAATCTTTGTTGAGGTCTCGGTTCACTTTGAAGTGGAGCTCGATCCTTACGATTACAAGGAGAGTATCATGAATGAAAAGTGAAAGGGATTAGTAACATACTAATGATTGACGTGTGATAGAATTTAGTGAAAGGCGGCTTTGAAGAGCTAGTGCGTACAACGAAATTGCAGTGTAACCCATACTTTTCGGAGAGGGCGTGGTACTACCCGGTTGCCCAAACCGAAGTACCGAGTCTACTTGGGTGACACCATCCCGTACATTCAGCTCAACAGTATACCCGCAAAGCATCGGTTTGAATTCAGGGGACTTTTGGGGCCCTTGGTCGATCTCTCGATTCATGGTATGTTACCAGGATGACAGCATCCAGCTGCTGAAATATAATTCTCCACCGAGGTGGAGCAAGGGGTTGTGACTTCGTTTAGTGACGAGTCACATCTGCCACATCGCAGTGTTGTTAGACAGACATTTGTGACTTTTTGTAGGGAAAAGGCTTCTTAGGTGAAAATCCACCGCTTCCTAGAGCACTACCGACAATGCATGTGCCGAAACACCCATTTTCGGGAGCCAGCCACATGTCGAAAAGCACGGCTGAAATACCAAAAGCAATTAGCTACGGTGGAGACACATCATTTTCCAACACCGCGCGGTCCAAAACAGATGGGTGTCGTATAAAGATAAGGTAGCATTGATGTGTCCGCTCCGTTGAAGATGTCGCTACTCCATGTCACCATTAACCTCATTCCACGATAGCTCATCAACTCTATATTGACATCAGCGTCATCAGTACACTTTAGCTGAGGGTGATGAACTCACCTCAACCATTGTGCCGCAATACAACAAAAATATTAAAAATTACGGATTGCAGAAAGGTTCCTTTTAGGAAACCACTAGCATGGGAAGTGGATCGGTTAGTGATCAGTGGCTTCATTTCCCGCTACCGGATCATTGATTTCTTCATGAAACTCTACCGTATCTTAACTCCTGTGTTCAGATATGGATGTCCCGGTAATTAGTGTTTTATTCCTAACGGACTACTTTAGAAATCATCACAGAGCTGGATACGCGCCTTTTTACTTTTAACATTCGATACGAGCAACGCTCATGTGCAACAACCATCGCGGACCCAAAGGTACGTGAGGCCTTCCAAATGAATCACCACATCTGTCTACAGTGGGGGCAAATGACCGTCGCTTCTACGGTCACAGTATTAAACACCGCTCGGCACTGTAACCGGCTGCACCATTTAAAAGTGGGCAGAGATTTCCGTTTTGATCTGTCTAGAAGGCGAAACTTTCTACGATACTACCTTTTCACAATTCGTTGCATTGTTCCCCCAAATGTTTGCATCGTTCACGCTTGCAACTGAATTGCGTACGTAATGTGACACGTTGCACATGTGCACTCGTATGAGCCATACTCATGACTGTGTTCGCGACGTGAGATCACGTGATCGCCTTGCCACCGACTGCACTGGTACGGTGACTAACGTAGCGGTGAAGTTAACTCCATAGGCACACCAAGTTGAGTGGAACTGTACAGTTAGTGCAACAGCTTGGTCTGCTCGGTCACAAAAAGGCACTCGTACGTGACACTCGGCAGAGATGAAGTATATAATACTTGAGACTTATGAAGTGGGACGCGACTGGAAGTATGTTGCATACATACTAGACGTAAACATGACTACCTGTCGCAGTTAGAAAGATTGGAATCAGCCGAACATCCAGAAAAGCGTGTTAGGAGACGCCGAAGCTCTCTGACAGACAGTCAAATCGATTGCCTGGTAGAATAGGCGTCGAAAGAACTCACGGTCACTCTACAAACACTACGTCTGCGGTCGAAAGCAGAGTTAATGAGATAAGCGTGAGCCCAACTGCACGATAATTGGATGGACGGCTAAGTAGTATGAAGAATTTGCGAGCAGTTCCGGAATCAGTCAACACATATGAGAACAAAATGCGGAGAAAAGCCTACGTTTAGGCACCGCTACAATCTGAGGCCAAAGGAAGACAAGCCGTGTGGATAGATGAAAGCAATTGCAATCTTTTTTGTTCTCGCACCATGGGGCGTTCACCGAGTGGAATTTCCGCAATGTACAGTGCGCAACAGTCGAGACCAAAAACTGCATCTGATTGGAGTGTTAACGAGCGATGGATTAATAGGCTATCCCATCATGAGAGGAAGCTTCAATGAAGAAAGGTGCGCGGTGTGGTTGCGTCGACTGCTGGATGTCAGAGACTCAACTTTAATCGATAACTGCCTCATGATCTGTGATAAGGTGCAATGCCACACGAAGTTGGAACGTGTATTCCAGAAGGAACCGTACTGTTCGGGCAACCTCATGCGTCTGGCACCATATTCCCCATCAGTGGGTCCCATTGAGGGAATCTGAAGCATAATAAAAGCGTTTGTGAAGCAAGCCATGAAGAGGCAATATTCCAAGATGCTGCATGATCCTGAGGGTGTACTATTATGCAAGAGCGAGTGGAGAATGCAATTTTTGGAGCGAATTGTGTCCGAGGCACAAAACCGCCAACAAAAGATCGATCATCTAAGAAAAAATTACGCTCGTGCTATGCATTGCATGGATTTGTAAATCCTATTTGCTGACATAAATGTATATGAGTTGAAAAGGTATCATCACTTTTATGTATCGCTAGTTCATAGGTTCCATATTCAGACTAAACGTTGGGGCACGCAGTTTGCGCATGCTTCCGGTGTGGCGTTGAGAGACAACCATAGGGTATGCTTATAGTTCAAAAGAGTCGGGACGACAACTGTAGTGGTGCTAGGGGTGAGAAACTTGAATGTTCGTCGATAAGTGGTATGTCACTCAGAAGGCGGAATGTAAACACATTGCAATGAAGGCTGACCACGCGTCTGCAGAACCTCAGGTCTAAGATTCGTGCGGCAGGTAGTCATGTTTACGTCTAGTATGTATGCAACATACTTCCAGTCGCGTCCCACTTCATAAGTCTCAAGTATTATATGCTTCACCTCCGCCGAGTGTCACGTACGAGTGCCTTTTTGTGACCGAGCAGACCAAGCTGTTGCACTAACTGTACAGTTCCACTCAACTTGGTGTGCCTATGGAGTTAACTTCACCGCTACTTTAGTCACCGTACCAGCGCAGTCGGTGGCAAGGCGATCCCGTGATCTCACGTCGTGAACACAGTAATGAGTATGGCTCATACGAGTGCACATGCGCGTGTCACATGACGCACAAGATGCAGTTTCAAGCGTGACTGATGCAAACATTTGGGGGAACGATGCGAGGAATTGAGAAGTACAGAGCTTTGCTAATTTATGTCTTTCATGATCTTACCGTCTAGCGGACATGCGGCACCGACCCCCACGTTATTCGATCGTACGCGTTAAGCGATGTTACTTGTAATCTTTGGGACTTGAGGCGCCGCAAAACATTGTGTACCGACCCCTTTCGCTTTTGCTTTTAAAAGCGATCGGAGTTGCCTTTCTGGTCCAAATGACTGTTCGTTTAGAAGAAGAAAGCAAATAAGCATCTGCAGTACGTCGGCACGTAGTAATGACGCTTCGCTGCCGCGCAACCACCACCAGTCGCACTTGGGCTGCAGATTATGCGAGGGTTGTCCAGTCCCTACGCAGGCTCGAATCCGCACCCTCGGATTACAAGGCAGATTGTGATCCTTAAGGCTACAGTCTGGTTTTTCTCGAAAACTGGAGAAATTAGCTTCACCTTACTGAAAACAGTATTGCCCCCTTTTCATTGAAAGTCGACCGAAAGTCGACTATGTTCTCTTTATCGAAAACTCTTTTTCCTCGGTCTTTTCTCACACATAATCCGGTCCCTTTCACTTAATAACCATTAATACAAGTGCTTTGTTTGTGCTGAATGTGGTTGCCATAACTCATTCTACTCACGGGAATAATGCTCTACTGAAACTGTTTATATTGAGATGGGTCCTTTAGTGGCCCGAATTTTGGAAGCTGTTACTCCTCTGTGTTATCCTGTCGTCTACGAGGTAGTAGCGTACAAAACACTGCGCTCGGATCGCACTACTTCATAACTAGCGGCTTAGCCGCATAGGATCCTTAATATCTATGATGCCTAAGCTTCTGCTTTCGAGTGTTGGGTCACCTATGAGTCTTGGGTGGACAAAATGACTGGTGGTTTCCATTGCTGGAGACACAGTAAACCCAGGTGCACTTTGCGTTGCAGTTTGTAGCTGCAAGTTTTCCTTTTGCCCCACCTGTTTTTCGACCTTAACTCCTACTCTTCCTTTGCCGGTCTCATTGGAAGCGAGTCGCAGTTTTCCCCTATGCTAACGCTCTATTACATCTTTCGTTGACTGCACTTGATTGGCCCCGTGTTACTGGTTCACTTGGTTGTGGGTTTTCTATGCTGTTATTGGCTTCGATTGCCATGCGTTGGTTATTCTGTTACGCCTACTTGCCTCAACGCAGTTTTCTGACGCTAAAACGTCTGTTTCTACTTGTATGTGAGGTTCACCCTACCGTAGCGAGCGATACAGTCCACTGTTGTCTGATTGATTCTATTCTCTGTGAACTTTAATAATTACAATAGGCGGCTTAGTTATTTACTGGAATACTTGAGACATTGCCGGTACGCTTCTTCCGGGTACGCGGCCCGTCATTCCGAGCACCCAATAAATGCTTTGTGGAAGATTCCTAAAATTCCACGTATTTTGTCTCTACTATCATTAGCCTCACATTCTTGCCTCTCTTCTACAACTCTGCGGGATGTGTCACCATGTCTGTGTATCGCGGGATCTACTACTAGTATCTTTTCCACCTAAATGTGACTATTTTTTCTGACCAGCTCCTATCTTAGCCCTGGAATTCTTATTTATAAACCAATATTACTCTAAAGTGGCTTGTTTTTCCTAACCAAACTTTGATTTCAATCTAGTAAAAGTTTGCTGGAGCGTTATTTCCCGAAATCATTGGGCACCCTTTTTTGCGAGACTAGAGTAGAGCATACATTTCTGAGCCCTGTAGCCGTCTGTCAGTAATTTGCCGAATTCCAGCGAACCTTATGCTTTCCACCTCCTTTTCTTGCCATATTTCAGACAATGGACATTGCCCATGTCATTCCAGCTTGTTCTCCATCTCGCATGCGCTCTCTTTTGCTTCTCCCCTCCCGCCTTAGGTGTACTCCGGTCTGCTCAAGGGCACCTCCTGCCTTATTCGTGAAGAGGGAGTGCTGGCCCTTTGGCGTGGTCTAGGCCCATCATGCATCTTGGTCGCGCCTCAAACTGCAGTCACATTCGCAATGTACGAGTATCTAAGACGAGTCTATGTTACGCACTTATCCCTGAGTACGTTGACGCCTCCTCCCGTTTTTCTTCTTAGGCGCACTCTGTTCAGCTTGCTCTGTCACCATTCCACGTAGTTTGATCTTCGCTCGTTTGCATCTTGGTTTATCCCCCCTTACCACTTCACCAACAGGTTGTTTATAATGTTACTCACACATACACACATCAATCCTTCTACTCATAATTAATATAAATTCGCCCTTACGGATTCCATAAATGCTATGTCGATTCATAGCTGCCGTAACCGGGAAGTCCTGACACCGGAAGGCCAACCGCTGTCACGCGCATGGCGGGTGCCTGCATGGCAGTGGAGGATGGGTCGGGCTATATCGCAGTTAGCTAACAATTCGTGAGGGTCAGCTACCGTTCTCCATGGCGCAGTTGCATAAGCTGCGGGCTAGTTGACACAAGCCACTAGCAGTTATGGGTTCGATCCTCCATAGAGGACCGAAGGATGCGCACCACTGACGAGCCCCAATAGGGCGAAACGGCCGCCTGGCGCTTTTCCGGATAGGTAGTTGACTTATCTGGATTGTCGGCTGACTGCGACGAACAAAAATACACATCACTCTACTCCATGATGCGTTCTGTTCTTGCTTGGGCTCATCTGGCAGAGAACAGAATTGGGAATAGAACTTGGGACTTAGTTGTTGGTGACCATCGCCATGATCACTAGGCCAATTAGCTCCGCAAGCAGTGCTTGGCATCGCGGCTAGAAGCTGATTGTCTAGTTTTGGAGTGCCCACCGTGTGGCTTTGATTGCGGCACGCAATCTAAATTGTGGTTACGGTTGGCTTTGAAGTCAGCCTGTGCCAACTCGATCACTGGGGCCGTATCTGAAGTGGAGGGTTTCAGTGTTGCTCTCTCCCATCCCCCCTGCACTCCACGACGCGTTTCGTCCTTGTTTGGACTCATGAGACAGAGATAGCTTGACTTGGAAGTGCAACTCTGCACATAGTGTTTGGTGGCTGTGACCATGATCATTAGACCAAAGCTCAGCATTCAGCTTGCTTTTAGCTCACTCTCCTTATTATTCGCAGAAAGCAACTTAGTCGCAACTCAGTTTTACCGTCTCAAAAATCATAACTTCATGCTACCTTGTTAATATTTAGGCAGCGGGATTATATAGGGAATTGGAGGCAGGGTAAGCTAAGCAGGAGTGATAAAATATTTGCAGCATCCGCTCTACTAAGGGGACCCTAGACTATTTGCTAACGTTTCCATTTACACCGATTCACTCTCCCCGTGACCAAAGCCTTCCCACCCGAATCTCGCGATTGTGGCCTTCGCTCCGACTATTCAACGCAACCACCCCCTCTGAATCTAGCAGATTTCGGATGTCACACCACACCAGACTGTGTAAGCGGGTCTGTATTAGTTAGGCTGTCCCGCTGCACTGCCGTATTTCAGAAGAGTAGTAAGTAAAGTATGTAATCTCAACAGTCTAGCAACTAGACATAGAGCCAGCAAAACCATGGAGATCAGTGGATAGAAGACAATCATTGCGTCATAATCATCGTGGCATGCTAGTTGAAGGTGGGCAACACACATCAGCTAATATGCCGCAAGAAGAATGGAACGTTTTGACAAAAATAGAGCAAAACCTTTTTAGTTTGTTTGTCACACGCCGATTTTTTCTTTTTTTGTCGTTTTCAATGTTGGTAGTATTAAACATGTGAATCAATACAATACTGTACACAATTCTTCCATTGATCCCGATTGCGGGCCATGTCTTCAAGAGTCGTAAGCCATTGGCACTCCTCATCTTTGGGTCCCCATCCTGGAAGACGTACGGATCCAACAGCGGCTAGACACAACATCAGCGATTTCATGTGCTGCCGCCTAGTGGAAGGCTGACCACCACGCGGTCGCCTCCAGCCAGGTCCTTGACGAGCGAATAGAGCGCGACGCGGTAGACGCTCAGGTGCCATGCGTAGGACATGACGGAGCCATCTTAACTGACGCAACAAAAGCAGTTTGTTGAAGGAAATACTTGCATTCCCCAAGATGCGACGTCGAACGTCATTACTATTAACTCGATGTTGTCACCTAACACGAGCGTTCCACCTTAAGCAACCGGCATCGAAAGCAGAAAGACGACGCATGTTTTCCACGCGAATCGCACCCATACAACAATACAGAGCGAACTGATGCGCTGTAAATGCGGCCCTTTAGTGAGAATGAAACGTCACGACGACGCCAAGAGTGTCTCAGATTGACAAATGCTGATCGAGCTTTATCGATTCGAAGAGAAACTTCTTTGTTGATAGTGCCATCAACAGAAACACAGCTCCCGAGGTAGACGAAACTATCTACCTGTTCAAGTTGTGCGCCTTCGAGAGTGAGCACGGGAGCAGGTGAAAGCCAATCCTTGAGCAGTACTTTACACTTCGATGGGTCGAAGCTCATGCCATACTTAGATGCTTCAACCGCCAAACGATCCAGAATGAGTTACATACTCTGAAGGTCGTCACCAAGTAAGGCGATATCATCAGCATAATCTAAGTCGGTCACGCGCTCACCCGGTAGCAACTCTAAGCCAAAATGTTGGAAACCTTCTAGAGCATTCGACAGAACGTCTTCGATTGCGAAGTTGAAGAGGAATGGGGACATAGGGCAGCCCTGTCGCACACCGCTATTGACAGCGAATTGCGAGGAAAGCTTGCCATAGACCCTCACTCTGCTGCATGTATGAAGGTGAAGTGCTCGTAAGATGGCGGTATATTTCTCTGGCACCCCATTCTTTAGCAAGCAACGCCATAAAGCAGGTCGATCAACGGAGTCAAAAGCGGCACGTATGTCTAGGAATACAATGATAGTGGGCCTGTGATAAATGTGGCGATGTTCGAGGAGCCGGCGGAGCGTGAAGATTTGATCCACGTATCCGCGGCCAGGACGGAAACCAGCTTGTTCTTCACGGTAGTACGATTCACGTACTGGGGATAGTCTACGAAGCAGAATGGATGCCAGTAGCTTAGAGGCAACCGAAGTAAGACTAATCCTGCGATGATTTGCACATGAAGTACGAACGCCTTTCTTGAAAATTGTGACAATAACTGATTCGCCCCAAGAGGAAGGCACTTTCTCTTCATGCCAAATTTTTGCGAACAGCGCGGTTAGCTGGTTAATGATCGCCCCACTGCCGTACTTGTATAGCTCCGGAGGAAGTCCGTCTAAGCCGGCGTCGAATCTCGAGGTAGACTTCTGCTTCGCTGGATGGATTCAGTGGGACGAGCCAGGGTGGAAAGCAACGTATACTGCATGTACTGGTGGATGGTGGAGGCCAGTTGAACTGCGAGTGAAAGTGCTTAGCCCAACGGTCCATAAGCCTCTGTTGGTTGGTGATCGGTGACACATCCACCTCACAAATGACCTCACTGACACCAGGTTTCTTGAGGCCAGTGGACCGAATGAGCTGGAAAAGCCTGCGAGTGTTGCCAGAGAAGGCAGCGGTCTCCATCTCTAAAGCACGCTCAGACCACCATGTCTCGCGATCCTTGCGTAGGCTTTGCTTGAGCAGCCGGTTGGCAGAACGGCGCCGCTCATTGCAATCTGATTCCGCCGGGATGTCTTTGCGGCGTTCGAACAGCTGCAGAGAACGAGCAGAGATCCAAGGCTTCAAAGGGCGTCTCGTTAGGCCGCAGCATGACTGTCCGGAAATGGCCATCGCTTTCCGTATACAAGTCCAGTGTTGTTCCACTTCTTGCGGTGGATTGCAACTGAGTGCATATGCCAGTGAAGACTGATAGCTCGCCTGGACATAGGAATCAGTTAATCTGTTTACATCAATCTTGTGGTGCTTCGCGTTTCGAGATCCTCCAAAACACATACAGATTTTCGCACAGACCAGAGCATAATCTGAGTCAACGAAAGTGGACCAAAAGGACCTGCAGTCCAGCACGCTGTCGCGCCATCTGAAGCTAATTGCAATATGATGAATTTGAGACCGCGGCTGTGTTGGCGAAGGGGAACACCACGTTGCGGAACGCTTCTTCGTACGCCTGAAGCTAGTGCTCGAAATAAACAGACGATAGTAGTAGTAGTAGTAGTAGTAGTAGTAGTAGTAGTAGTAGTAGTAGTAGTAGTAGTAGTAGTAGTAGTAGTAGTAGTAGTAGTAGTAGTAGTAGTAGTAGTAGTAGTAGTAGTAGTAGTAGTAGTAGTAGTAGTAGTAGTAGTAGTAGTAGTAGTAGTAGTAGTAGTAGTAGTAGTAGTAGTAGTAGTAGTAGTAGTAGTAGTAGTAGTAGTAGTAGTAGTAGTAGTAGTAGTAGTAGTAGTAGTAGTAGTAGTAGTAGTAGTAGTAGTAGTAGTAGTAGTAGTAGTAGTAGTAGTAGTAGTAGTAGTAGTAGTAGTAGTAGTAGTAGTAGTAGTAGTAGTAGTAGTAGTAGTAGTAGTAGTAGTAGTAGTAGTAGTAGTAGTAGTAGTAGTAGTAGTAGTAGTAGTAGTAGTAGTAGTAGTAGTAGTAGTAGTAGTAGTAGTAGTAGTAGTAGTAGTAGTAGTAGTAGTAGTAGTAGTAGTAGTAGTAGTAGTAGTAGTAGTAGTAGTAGTAGTAGTAGTAGTAGTAGTAGTAGTAGTAGTAGTAGTAGTAGTAGTAGTAGTAGTAGTAGTAGTAGTAGTAGTAGTAGTAGTAGTAGTAGTAGTAGTAGTAGTAGTAGTAGTAGTAGTAGTAGTAGTAGTAGTAGTAGTAGTAGTAGTAGTAGTAGTAGTAGTAGTAGTAGTAGTAGTAGTAGTAGTAGTAGTAGTAGTAGTAGTAGTAGTAGTAGTAGTAGTAGTAGTAGTAGTAGTAGTAGTAGTAGTAGTAGTAGTAGTAGTAGTAGTAGTAGTAGTAGTAGTAGTAGTAGTAGTAGTAGTAGTAGTAGTAGTAGTAGTAGTAGTAGTAGTAGTAGTAGTAGTAGTAGTAGTAGTAGTAGTAGTAGTAGTAGTAGTAGTAGTAGTAGTAGTAGTAGTAGTAGTAGTAGTAGTAGTAGTAGTAGTAGTAGTAGTAGTAGTAGTAGTAGTAGTAGTAG